CCCCGCCCCGCCCCGCCCCGCCCCGCCACACCGCGGGGACTCGCCATGCCCGGAGGCTTTGAGTTATTCAATTAACGCCGCGATAACTATCCAGTAATTGGTGGGCTAGCTGGAACTTCTTAGAATCGGACAGCGCGGGCCGCCCTCCCGGCCAATCGAGCAAGCACCTCCAGTCATTTTGTGTCAAAGTGCACATTTTCCGATTTTTCACGTATTAAGTAGGCGACGCATGATTCGCCGACGCCGAAATGAAGTCGAAATTAAGGTCGTCCAACAACGCATTCGGGTAAAGCTGAAAAGAAGAAGAATGAGGAGAAAAACACAACTCAAATCACTGATGTAGTATAGTGACTTCCGTTGTCTTGTTCCTCGCATTCTCCTGCATTTCAGCTTTACCGGAATGCTTTATTTCACATTCGCAAGTCGTAAGGGCTGTCAGCATGACTGCCTGTACCTTATGTATGGCTGAATAATGTTGACGTTGATCCCACTTTGGCATAGTTCGACGAACCTCTGCGCCCTTCGTAGGGCACGGTTGCTAGGGGCCGGAGCACAGGGTGGTCCTGAGTGGTTGAGTACCTCACATTGGAGTCGAGATATGGGGGATGATGGAATTAGCAGATTGCTGTCAAGGACGCATGCGCCATCGGTTCTCTCTCCGATCCCCGGCCTTGCCTCCTCGCCGTCGCTCACAATGGCCTCGTTACAGGAATACGACGACTACTACGGCGGCGCCTCCCCGCTGCCCCTGCCGCCGCCGGGGGCGGGCGCCGGCCACCTCCCCGCCGCCGGCGCCGCCCCCCTGGAGCCCGGGCAGCAGCCGCCGACACGGGCGCCGGCCGGGCCGCTGCCCCCGCTCCAGCTCGAGCCCGCCGTCGCCATGGCCCTCGAGCAGTTCCTCATCTCCAGGGGCATCCGGCTGCGGCCGTACCGCCCGTACGCGCCGCCCCCGTACATGATGCGCTACCGGCCGCCGTACGCGCCGCCCCCGTACTACGACGACGACCCGTACGGCTATGACCCGTACCTCGTTCAGCGCCACCCCTACCACATGTACCACCGCGGCTACCCGTACGACCCGTACGCCTACCAGCAGCCCTACCCGTACCCGCAGTACAGCCCGTACCAGCAGCAGCAGCATCACCAGCAGCAACTTCAGCAGCAGCAGCATCATCATCAGCAGCAGCAGCAGCAGCAAGGGCTGTTCGTACCCGTGCGGCCTCCTCTGAGCGCGTACCGGCGCGCGCATCAGCCCGTGCAAGACGAAGTAGTGCAGCAGCACCAGCAGCAGCAGTACGACCCGCGCCAGGAGCTGCTCATCCGTATGCTCATCAACAGGATGCAGCAGCAGCAGCAGCTGCAGCAGCAGCAGCAGGTGCGCCAGGTAAGGCTCGGGGGAGGGGAAGAGGGAGGGGACGGGGGGGACGGGGGTTGATGGGGATGACGATGCATCCCGCCGCCCCGCTGCGCTGGGCGCCACAAAGGCACCCCTCACGCTCCAGTGGATCCATTGCGCGCGCAAATCGCGCCTGTGTGCGCCACAGCCACCCGTTACATGGCACAATCGGCATGCAAATCGGCGTGCACTGTTGTCGCGCGGCGGCGGGAAAGTTTAAAAATAAAATAAATTTTCTGTCGTGTCGTGTGTGCACGGATGTGTGTGAAGCCGCCGTCGTCGTCCTGATTGCAGGTGTCGCGCGGGGGCGGTCCGCAGCTGCAGCAGGCGCAGCTGTACGACCAGCAGGCGCAGCTGTACGACCAGCAGCTGCAGCAGGCGCTGCCCACCAGCATCGTGTCCTCCACCACGCAGGCGCCGCCGTCCACCTCGGCGCGGGTGCGGAGCGTCAAGATCCTGGAGCCGGACGCGGAGGGCAGCGAGCTCAGCCCCACCACCGTCAAGCCGCCCGTCGGCGGCGTGCAACCGTGATAGAGGTCCGCGGGGTCACCGCGGGTCAACGACGTCAGGGGGGTCAACATCACCGGCGGCAGCCACTCAACTTTTCCCCATAAGCGGGGCCTAACCTGGCGAGACGGCCGCTCTAATCAGACAGACGACTGACTTCCCGGGATCCCCCCC